AAATCTTCTTTTCATAGGCTCAGGTATAGCCTATGGGGTAGATGGAATAAATGGCTATCTATGTGGTATGGTTTGAGAATCATCTACCTTACCTAAATATCTTTCTCACTCGTCTCTCATAGGGTCTGAAATTCTTCCCCACCATTATTCATTGTAGTGTATTAATGACCAAAATCTTAGTTAAAATGAAATTGTAGCTGGGAGGTTTATTCCTCCCTCTTTACAAATGACACTTATTGTATAACACTAATAGAGATAGCTAATGTGTTTTGCTTAAACGTTCTCTCTCTCTCTCTCTCTCTCTCTCTCTCTCTCTCTCTCTCTCTTACATACACCTCAATGCTGTTTTAACTGATCCATAACTTTCCAGCCACTGTTAACATGTAGAAGTATAGTATCCAAATATATACTCGTATATATTTCACAAACATAAGTTTATGCTCTATATACTGCATTAAACCCTACATTTGAACTTAACAATATAGCATAACTGTTTCCCTATCATTGGGTATTATTATGTAACCTGATTTCCAGTAGCTTCATAGTATTTCATCTTTTAACATATAACACATTACTTAGCTTAGTCACCATTGTTACACAATTAGGTTACATATGATGTGTTGAGTGTCCTTGTAGTTCTATCTTTACATACATCTCAGTTTTATCCTTAGTAAAAAAATTATGAAGCAGAACTGTCAGGTAAAAAAGTATTTAAATTTTAAACTAACTTGATTTTAATGCTAAATTGGCCTCCAAAATTTACATCCATTTCAGTCCTACTGAAAATATGTAGGCATTTTTAATATAGGCATGAAAGCTCCTATATTGTCATTATTTATAACCTTAAATGCTATCTCATTTTAATTTACATTTCTTTGATTTGTCATGTAATTGGGATTTTTATTATATTTTTGGCTATTTGTTTTCATGTTTGGAGAATTAACTTTCTGTTTTATGTATTTATACTTGTGTCACCACTTTATTTTTTGCTCATTCCTAAACACCTTAAAATCTGATCTGCTTCCAATTTTGACCCCTTCCAGTCCAACCACTGTAGCCGGAGTACTCGTCCTAGAACATAATTTTGTGTATATCGCTCCTTTGACTAAACTGCTTCAGCGGTTCCCATTGCTCTTTGGATAAAGTGCAAACTTTATAACGTTGCCTACAAGGTTCCCTGTGTGACTTTGCCAATTGTCCAGCCTTCAGGCAAGAGAAAACACACACATCCACATGGTCTTTTGCTTAGCTAATTTCTACTCATCATGTAGGTCATTGCTTAAAATTAACTTCCTCTGGGGACATTTCCTTTAGTGCCCAAGTCCCTGCCAGGTAGATCTTGTGTATGTTCCACTCCCTTTGTAGCAGCACTTCTATTGCCTATTTAATGTCTTACTCCTCCATGATCTGTGAGCTTTGTGAGGGCAAAGACCACAATTAGCTTGTTCTCCCAGTATATCTCCACTGTCTGGCATAGTTCTTGGCACATTGGTTGAGCTCAGTAAGTGGCGGATGTATGGAAGGAAGGAAGGAAGGAGGAAGGAAGGGAGGGAGGGAGGGGATTGGGGAGGTTGGGAAAACATTTCATGAGCCAATTTTCTGCCTTAACTCTTGCCCTAAAGAGGTTGTTGTCTTCTTACTTATCAAATCCTGGAAGATTAGCTATTCAATATGAGACCTTAAGATTGTACTGAGTTAGGCTTTCATTTGTTTTTCTTGGCCTGCAGTTTATTCCTGAAAGCTCTCTATTATATCATAAACAGCCAAGAGCTGTTGTTAGTAAATTTCTAGCAGGATAGACATGCATGAGCGTATATATTTGTTTAACTCTTCATCCCCTTATAACTAGTTCACCATGAAAGTTTCCTCTCTGGTCTCCCTACATTCAATGTCTCTTCCCTCCACTCCAACCTGCATATTGTTGCCAAGTTAATGTGTCTTTCCATTCTTTCATTTGCATGCTCAAGGATTTTTACTGGCTCTGATTCAGAGGGCTGGTGCAGGCCCTAAACATGTATGTTTTGGTCAAAGTTCCATAAGATAATTATCATGTGTAACCACGGTTAAGATTTACGAAAGCATGTAAAAATATACCTAAATTTTAAAAAATAAGGACTGTCTAAATGGTTAAGGGTATAGAGTTTAGAAGCCAATGAACATTGATTCAGTCATATTTCTTTTTTTCCCCTTGATCATTACTGGTTGTGTGACCTTGGACAAATTACCTACCATTCTATTTGTCAACTTTCTAATTTACGGAATGAAAATAACATTTGTCACACAGGGTAATGTGTAAGGAATAAATTAGATTATATATATATATATATATATATATATAACTGTGCATGTACGAGGTCTGACAATTAAGTTTGGGAACTTGCTACCATACACTTTCATTGGCAGCACTGTACAAACAGCTCGGTGCGGTTTCATAACCTTGGTATATCAGTGTCTCACAGCTGAGTTCATATCAATGTGTGGCGGTGTCTTGGTGAGTGGTATTCATTATTGTTGTTACGTGTTTTTTTGTGCCGTTGCAAGAATGTCTGAGCTTGAAGTAGAGCAGTGAACAAACATTAAACTTCTTGTTAAACTTGGCAAGAATGGAAGTGAAATCAGGGACATGTTAGTCCAAGTTTATGGGGATAATGCCATGAAGAAAAAAGCAGTATACAAATGGATTAAACAGTTTTCTGAGAGGAGAGAATGCATCACTGATGAACAGAGGTTAGGGCAGGCAATAATGAGCAGAACTGATGAAAACATTGCAAAAATTCATCAAATTGTGCGTTAAAACTGTCAGCTGACTGTGAGAAGCATAGCAGACCAAGTAAACATTGATAGAGAAACAGTTAGGAAAATCTTAACTGAAAATCTCAGCATGAGAAAGGTGTGTGTAAAAATGGTCCTGAAGGAGCTCACCGATAAACAAAAGCAAAGGAGAGTCGAAGTTTACCAAGACCTTTTGGAGAGGCAAGACGATGTTTTAGGCCATGTTATCACTGGTGATGAAACATGGGTGTACCAATATGACTCTGAAACAAAGCGTCAAAGTGCACCATGGAAAGGTCAGCCAAGTGGCTCAGTTGGTTAAGAGCTCGCTCAAGAGTGCGAGCTCTGAGCAACAGTGGGTCGATGCTCAGCCCGAGCTGAGCTGCTGCCGAGCTGACAACAGGTGGCAGGATGGCTCAGCTAAAAAAAGAAAAAAAAGTGCACCATGGAAGTCAGCCAATTTTTCACGACCAAAAAAGTTCTGTCAGTCTAACTCAAGAGTCAAAACGATGTTGCTAACCTTTTTTGATATCAGAGGGATTATTCATTTTGAATTTGTGCCAACTGGATGAGCAATTAACCAAGTTTACTGTTTGGAAGTGCTGAAAAGGCTGCATAAAAAAGTTAGATGAAGGGTCTTCCGAGTGGCGCGTTGTTTAAGAGTTGGCTTGGGACGCCAGCTCTGAGCAGCACGGCCCCAGTTTGGATCCCACATGAGGGCCAGAGACACTGCACCCTCTACAGCTAAGATGGTGAATAACAGCTCGGCCTGGAGCTGGGCTACCGTGAGTTACCGGCGATGGCGTAGGCTGCAGCCCCTGCTGCAGTGGGCTTCCGTGAGCTACGGTGAGTGGCCAGCAGCCAGCATGAGCTGCCATGAGCCGCTGTGAGCGGCTGTCCAGTGGCAGGCGAGCGACTGCCTCACTCGGGAAGAGAGCTCAGTGGTAATACCAACATGGGCCAGTGAAGTGATGTCCTCCACAACTAGACTGAAGAACAAAAGGACAACAACTTGTCTGTTCCCCTTCCTCAATCCCCCAGTAAAATCTTTAAAAGAAAAAGTTAGATGGAAACGATCTGAACTTTTCACCAATAATTCATGGCTCACACGGCACTGTATGTGAGGGAGTTTTTAACTGAATTGGCACACCCTCCCTACTCACCTGATCTGGCCCCCAGTTACTTCTTTACCCAAAGATAAAGGAAATATTGAAAGGAAGACATTTTGATGACGTTCAGGACATCAAGGGTAATATGACGACGGCTCTGATGGCCATTCCAGAAAAAGAGCAATTCCAGAATTGCTTTGAAGGGTGGACTAGGTGCTGGCATCGGTGCATAGCTTCCCAAGGGGAGGACTTTGAAGGTGACCACAGTGATGTTCAGCAATGAGGTACATATCACTTTTTCTAGGATGAGTTCATGAACTTAATTGTCAGTCCTCATATCTATCTATCTATCTATCTATCTATATAATTGCCAGTCCTCATATATATATATATATATATATATGACATATATGTAAAAGACATATATGTAAAATATGTCTGTAAAAATACTAAATGCCCAATTAGCAGTTGTGTTGTTATTGTTTGTCATTCAGTTATTCGTTCAAAAATTATTTATTCACTAGGTGTCTAACACTGTTAGGGACCATGGAAGACATGAGGTACAAAATACGAACCTTGCTCTTGAGAAGCTTAGAATTAGTCGAGGAGATAAAACTCACATAGTATACAATTAAAGAACAATAAAATTAAATGTAAATATTATAAAAGATCAACTAAAGTACAGTATTTAGGGGAAGGGTTTAAATCAGCTCCAGTGTGCTAGCTTGTTGTTTAGCATAAAAAAATAGAGGGGGAGAAAAAAAATCTCTCAAACTGCTCTTACCAAACCTTCAGAGGTCTACTTTTGATGCTGCCTGCCAGATGGAAAATGATGCAGGGGGGAAAAAATCCTGTATTTATTTCTCAAAATTAAAACAGGATGGGGGAGTGTGTTCGAGGGGTGAACATATGTGAATAAATATGGTGTAACCTTTAATTGGTTCTGGATGATTAACATTTAAACGGTTTCCATTGGAAAATCAGAGACGTGGTATTTTTCACTTAATGAATCAAGCCCTACAAGTCATTTATTTTCACCTTTTTAAATCAGAAATCAAACACTGGATAGAGGTTGCAAACCTATTTTGATGTATATTGATGTACTTTTCTCTTTTGCAGGGTCGCTATGGCAACTGCATCTTCTCAAGTTCTGATTCCAGACATCAATTTTAATGATGCCTTTGAAAACTTTGCTTTAGACTTTTCCAGAGAAAAGAAACTGCTGGAGGGGCTAGATTATTTAACAGGTGTGAAAATACTGTGCTTTCCTTCTCATTCTAATCCTTTTCTTTTGGTGTGCATTTACTTTTAAGTAATCTGAAAAAGACAATATTTATAATGAAAATGCTTTTATAACCTATAAAATGATACATGTATCCTTTTATATAAAACACATTTTAGTTCATATAACAGAAAAGAAAGATGATTTGTCAAATATTTCTGGGGGCAGAATGTGTATAACATCCGTACTTAAATGTAAAAAACAAGCAGTTGCTGATGGATTTCTCCTTATGAGCCTATCAGTAATATATACATTGCTTGTTATGGGGCTGGAACTAAGGTGGCGATTATGGAACATTAGAGAATGTTCCACATGGCTACAGGTACTACTCAAATGGTTTTAAGGAAAATTAAGAATGAACAGATGAGGAAGAAAAATTTAAGAAATATCTGACTTGCATGCAGTTTTAGAGAATGAGGAATGCAACCAGCCTTTTAAAAATGCTAGCTACATTCAGCATTATTTGAATGATCTATTTCATGAGAAAAATACATACATACAATAACTTTGTGTTTGTAGTTATTTTTGTTAATATATTAAAATAGCTGTCATTTATTGAACATCTACTTATTGCCAGATGCTGTATATTAATTGTATATCATGAGTCCTTGCAACAAATCTGAGGTAATTATCATCCCCATTTTACAGATGAGGGAACGCATATTATTTTGTACTCGGCTACATTGCCAAAAATATGTAGTAAAACTTACTTTGAAATAAAAAGAAATAGGTTGAAGGTTATATAATAAGAAAACCATGTGACCACTTTGCTCTAATACTTTCATGTGTGTTTATACAGGCAGAGTAGACAACTGGACAGTCATCTCAATACTTTAGGCTTATATTTTTTGCCTAAAATATCTTTATTGTTGAAGCAAAAGTGGTTTGGGGGAGCTTGAAGTCTCAGCACTTTGCTTCAGGTTGTATGTTATGTGCAATATAAAGCTTCTTATTAAGAAAATCTCCTCTCTATGACATGCTGGGTTGGGCAGCGTAACGATTGCAAACTTGCAGAACAGAGAGTGTGCTTTCCTTACCTTCTTTTCCACCTTTCCTTACAGCCCCCAACCCACCATCTATCCGAGAGGAACTCTGTACTGCTTCCCATGACACCATTACAGTCCACTGGATCTCGGATGATGAGTTCAGCATCAGCTCCTATGAGCTTCAGTACACCATATTCACTGGCCAGGCTAACTTCATCAGTAAGTCATGGTGTAGTTGGGGCCTGTGGCCAGAGATAAGGAAATGTAAGGAAGCAGTAAGCTGCTCAAGATTGGCCGGGGCGCCACGAGGCAAGTGTTTGTAAGACATGTTAGGTTGTTTAGAATAGTGTTTTGTAAACAGTTTAAGCTCCCCCAGGGCATTAAAAAGATCTTACGGATGTGTCACCCATCAGCAAGTTGTGTATTTCCTTGCTGGGCAGTCACTGGGGCCACTCCCATTTGTTGATGTAATCCTTAGCCTTTCCTCAGTTAATCCATGTCACTCCACTCTCCCAAGTCAGAACACAGCTCAGAATTCGTTCCTGGGTAGCTAAGTCACCATCATTGCTGATTCTATGTGTGTGACCATCTTGTTCCTTGACTTTTCTTCCACTTCATTACCATGGTCAAATGAATTATGTTCAAAGACTACTACTTCCTTTACTGTACCGATTTGTATCAGTGACTATAGTGACAAGCCTCCTGTCTCCGTCACTCTTCCCTTTATCGTCCTTTCCCCCCTTTCCTCCAGTAAATACACCAAATATAAAAACGTGTCAGTGGGCCACACAACGAAAGATGTTCAAAAAGCAATCTTTTAGCTCACATGTTATAGCTTCACCTTCTGATGAACTGCAGCACGACAAGGCATAGTAAGAACTTAACTCAGTGATTGTCAGACAAGAGGGGTTGAGCTGCAAGTTCCCCCCAATGCCGTGGGGAAAAATGGAAATGAAAGCAGTATTGAAGCTGGTTTCCAGACTGGAACTGATTCCCACCCTAAGGTTGCATCTGCATAGCTGCAAATTAGTGTTTTCTTTTACCTGTGTATTTGTGCTTCTATATCTCACTTCACAGGCTTGCATGAAAGGAGTTTTTCCAATAAAACCCTCCTGGTAGTCTTCCTTTTCCTGTTTTGTGACAATTATGAGCCACATGGTGAGGTGGGGAGGTGAGAGGACATTTGGCGTCAAACTCTAAAAAACACTTGCCTCGTGCAGCTCCAACCTAAGCCACTTGGCCTGGGTAGCTGTGTTCTTGGGTGTTCCTGGGTGTTTCTTCAGTTTGTGAAGTCACAAACTCTTAAGGCCTCCCTGACATGCATTCCTGCACTTGTCTCTCCTGTTCTGGGAAGTTTTAGAGCCAGCAACTCTGCTTCTTCTTCTGATATGGGGGGAGCAGTGGTCTCTAGGGCGGGGTGAGAATAAGTCCAAGAAGTAACAAAAATCTAAAGGCTGTCACCTTTATTTTCAAGGATATATAGTTCTTTGTAAAGAAAAACTTAAAGAATAATTCTTAATAGTGATAGGATTATAGCATCTTAGAATTGGAGGGGACCTTAGAGGTCATCTAGTCTAATCTATTTTCCTTCTACCAGACACCCAGTAGATGATCGTCCTGTCTCTGCTTGAACATTTCCAGTGATGGATAGCTCACTTCTAACAAAAGAGCCCATTCAAGTGTGTAGCTATAAATTATTGTCAGTGCTTCCTTATGAAAGGCCTAACTCTCCTAGTAAATAATGACAATAACAATCTACATGTTATTGTATTTTGCCATCTACAAATGTTCCCCACATACATTGTCCCATTTAGTTCTCATGAGTTCTTACTTAGCCTTATGAAATAGATCATTTTAATTCTGTTTTATAGATGAAGAAACTGAAGTTCAATGAATTGCCCAAGGTCACAGAGCTACAAACTGACAGAGCCAAGATTTGAACCCAAGCCTGTCAGACGTCAAGCTTAATGCTCCTTGTATTAAACCACAGCTACCAATCAGTCCTAGCCCCGCCCTTTTATGCCTAACAAACCCAATCCATCTTTCACATGACAGTTCTTTAGATAATTTCAGATAGCTCTCATGTCCTTTCTACATTTTCTCTTTTCCAGGCTAAACATCCTCAGTTCTTTGGGTTGCTTCTCATGTGACATCATTTCAGACCCGTTACCATCCTGCTATCCTTTTTATGAAAGTGACTTATAAAATGTGCTATCCAAAAAGTGAACATAGTACTCCAGAAGTGGTCCGACCACTGCCGCGGATAGCTGGGTTATTTCTCTTGTACAATAGCTGAGCACATGGTCAGGTAAAATCCCTGGGAATTTCAAATCCTATTCCTGTTCATGCCATTGTCTAAATGGAAACACAACATCTTTTTTTTTTTTTTTTTTTTTTAGCTGAGCCATCCTGCTACCTGTTGGCAGTTCAGTGGCTGCTCAGCTCGGGCTGGACTCGAACCGCTGTTGCTCAGAGCTCAAACTCTTGAGCGAGCTCTTAACCAACTGAGCCACTCGGCCGGCCCTAGGAAACACAACATCTTGAATTCATCCCTATTACATTTTATCTGGTTAGTTTTGATTCCTCATTCCAGCCTGCTAAACTCCTTTTGAATCCAGTTTCTGACTTCCAGTACATTTACTTCCCTTCCCAGCCCTTCCATGTTCTCCTCTGATCATTGATAGAAAAGAGGAATAGGACTGGGACAAGGGCAGACCCTGAAGCAAAAATTTTGTTTGCAGTGGCAATGGGCAGATGAGATCAAACTGTTTTATGAGGAATAAATATTCGTGAAGATTCAAGGTCCCAGTCCTACCTTCTCTGAGAGCTACTTAACCTTGAGGTTTTCCTACATTTTCTCTTTTTTTAAACCACTTTACTTAGGTATACTTGACATACAAAAAGTTGTCTATCAACAAATGAATGCATAAAGAAAATGTGGTATATACACGCAATGGAATGTTATTTAGCCTTTAAAAAGAAGGAAATTCTGCCACTTGTGAGAACATGGATGAACCTAGAGGGCATGATGATGAGTGAAATAAGCCAGTCACAGAAGGACAAATAATATGATACAATGCATGTGGGGAATCTTAAAATAGTCAAACCCCATATCTGGTTAAAGAATAACCAGAAATTTCATCCTTGTTGGTTAAATTTTGAAAAGTAGTTCCCTTTATTTTTTCCAACTTTCTTCCTTCATTTTTAACTTTATCTCCACCTTGTCTAAAATATGAAATAGTCACAAGTCAATAACGTTTTATATGATGCCGTTAGCTGAATGAGAATTCCAACAGGTGTTTGGATGCTTGTCTTCCCCATTACTGTGTATTTTTCCTCTGTTTCAATTTTGTGTTTTGCATTCTGAAAGCTCTGGCTATAACCTCTGTCTGGCCAGAAAGTCTGTAACATACTGCCACAAAAATATAACTTCTATTTCCCCTCCTTTTCATTCTCATGCACGTGCTTTCCACCACACATTTATGCTCAGGTTCATGGATTTCCATATTGTAGTCTTTCCCTTTTGAATAAGGTGTATACTTCCATTACCATAATTCAATCATAAACCCCATCTCACCAAGTCTCAGTGATACCCCAAACATCACATATATATACACCTTTTTAAAATTTAGAAATGATTTCAAAATTACAGAAAAGTTGCCAGACTAGCACAAAGGACGTCCAGATACTGTTTATGCAGATTCGCCCCATTAATATTTTGCCCCATTTGCTTTATTCTCTTTCTCTCTTTTTTACTTCCATTTGAGAGTAAATTGCATATATCATAGCCTTTCACCCCTAAATTCTTCAGCGTATGTTTCCTAAGATACATATCCACAATACAATTATCGACTTTAAGCGATTTAAGTTTGATGTAATATTTTTATCTAACCCACCATTCATATTCCAATCTTTATAGCTGACCCGATAATATCCTTTATAATATATAAAGGACCCAATATTGTCCTTTATAGTCTAGCATCAGGTATTGCATTTAATTGTCATATCTCTAGTCTCCTTTAATCTGAAATATTTCCTTAGCCTTCCTTTGTCTTTAATGACGTTGACATTTTAAGAGTGCCATTTTTATTTCTTTATTATACTATTCCTTATTTTGGATTTTTCTGATGTTTCCTCATGATTATATTCATATTTTCCATTCATGGCTGGAATACTACAGAAGAGATGCTGTGTCCTCCTTAGGACACAACATCTGGAGGCACACGCTGCCCTCTGGTCCTTCATTGGTGAATTGGTCCTTCATTGGCTAATTTTGATCACCTGGTCAAAGGTGTTGCCTGATTTCTTCACTGTGTAGTTACTGTTTTTCCTTTTGCAACCAATAAGCAATCTGTACAGTGATGCTTTAAGACCATGAAAATATCCAGCTTCCTCATCAAACCTGTCCCACCCACCCCCTTCCTGTTTTAACATCAATAAATAATTCTTTACAATGATGATTGCAAAATGATCCCCCCCCCACATTTGCAAGCTGGCACTCTGCATTCTACTGTGAGCAAAAGCCCCACCCTCCATTTGTTTATTTAATCTACTTATTGGTATGGACCGCTGAACTCTCTTTTTTCAATGGTTTATAATTTTTTACTGCCCTTACCTTGGTGCTCAAATTTCCTAGATTTAGCCAATGGAAGCCTTTGAAGCTGATTCCTGGGTCCTACATTTTCCCATCACTTTCTTGATTACTTTTTAAAAAAATTTTATTGGGGAACAGTCAGGGTCATTGGTTACACATTGCTTTAATGCTACAATAGTATAGTTGACTCTTTTTTTTTTTTACGAAAGGCGCAGCTCACAGTGGCCCATGCGAGGATCGAACTGGCAACCTTGGTGTTATCAGCGCCACGCTCTAACCAACTGAGCTAACCCGTCACCCATCTTGAGTACTTTCTTACTTTCCAGCATAACAAGAGGTTCTAGGCTCATTTTGAGCCTGCCTCAACTTTTAAATCAGCCATTTTCCCAAGGAACCCTGGTTCCTTTTAGGGGGAGAATCGTGTTAGAGACCAAGACCTGGAGACTAGAAATACACATGTAACACCAATGTAGGTATACATATGCACACAGATAATATGTATACACTTAGGCTTAACATGGGTGCATATATGCATGCACATACATATACATATATAGTGTATTTTAGAAATCATGAATTTATACCAATACTTCCAATTCCAGTCCATCTCTACAGGTTCTTTCTTTCCTTCCCCCATTCCATATTTGTATGTTCCTACTTCCATGATGAGACCACTGACTCCCAACAACGTTAACACATGTACTCATTTGCTCATTCCCAAATAGATCTACAATAGTTTCAGAATTGTTTTGCCCATACCACTACAAAAACAAACAGTAGTTCAAGACTTGTTTGCAATTTTCCTCTTGCCCCATGTTTTTGGTGTGGTTGTTTTTCATTGCAAATGCAATTGGATTCATTGTTTGGGTTTGCCTTTAGTTTTAGTCCCCACCCTGCTCAATGATATTGGTTTCGTTTTAATTTTGGAATTTGTAAAACAGCAACATGTTTTCAAAACGCAAAACTGGACAAAACAAGTTATAATCAGAGAAGTGTCATTTTCTCCCATATACTTTTTTTAAATTAAATTTTATTGGAGAACAGCCATGGTCATTGGTTACACATTGCTTTCATGCTACAATGGCATAGTTGACTCTTTAAAGGAGTGTGCAGCTCACAGTGGCCCATGTGGGGATCGAACCAGCAACCGTGGTGTTATCAGCACCATGCTCTAACCAACTGAGCTAACTTGTCACCCCCCTGTCTCACATACTTTTAATCACCCCATCCCTTGTAGGTAACCAACTTCATTATTGTCTGTTTTTTTTTCTTTCCTGTTGTTATTATTGTTTTGTAACTCCAAACAAATATATGTATGTCCTCTTACGTGCCTTTCTTTCTTGCATAAATACTTAGCATACTATATATGCTCTTTTGTAATTTGCTTTCTTCAATTAACAATATATCCTGAAAATCACTTCATATCAGTCCATGGAGATCATCCTCATTTTTTTTTCCAGCTGCAAAATACTTCATTGTGAAGTTTGTTTAGTTTTTTGTTTTGTATTGTTGGAAGTATGTGTGGAAGATCGTGTATTTCCCTCCCCGAATTCAAATTTCATGTGCAGTTTACGATTCATACTGTGCATTGGTATATAGACAACCAAACCCTCAAACATTGTTCCTGGGTCTTATCCTTTATTGTCTTTTCATAAGAGTCACTGAACATGTCTACCAATTATTCTTTCTAGAGCATATCTTTTTGCCCTCCATTATGCTTCTTTTTCTAGTTTTAATTTAGACCTTTTCTACCTCTCCCCAAATTAATTATAAAACCCCCCTGATCAGATCTCTTTCAAAAGTCTCATTATTATTTTCAGTTTTTAACCTCACTTAAGCCCTTTACTATGGCTGCATAGCAGTGACTAAATTCACCACTCATTTTCCTTGCCCTTTTCTTTTCATCCTGTTAGAATTGTGTTTAAAAATCAGTAAACTGGCTGAAAAGCAGATAACAAAAGAGAAACCTAGATAATCCACAGACTAGAAAGTCAATCTCTCTTTTACTAAAAGTCAGCCAAATACATGTTTTAATTATGTACAGTTTTTTCTCTGTTTAAGTCAGTGTTTATGGTCTAAAGAGTTTCAAGAGCAGAAGCCTGCTTGTGATCTCTTTCCCTACTTGGAAGGGAAGAAGGTTCCAGACAACAATGTGTTCCTGGACCACCCAACACCAAATGAGTATTGGAATCAGAGCCAGGAAGGAGTAAAACTGGATAGTGTCCAGTGAGGCGATGATATTTCATTTTGGTTATCATGTCACCTCCTTGGTCCCTATGATAACTTAGAGCCCAACTAGTCTTGGAAGTAAGGGTAAGGGTAGGTGGGAAAGTTGTGTCATAAGCCCTGAAAGCTTCAAACCTCATGGAGACAAAAGAGCATTGGTGTTCACCCCATGAATTGTGATAATAGTAGGATAACGAGACAAGGTGTGTACTCCCAGCACTATCACCAGCTATCTGTGGCCTTGGGCAAGTCACTTCTCTCCATCTTAATTTCCCATTTGTAAATTGAGGGAAATATGGTGCCTAGGTGTCCTCTTGGCTCTGAGAGTCCCTGTTCCTGTGCTCTGCAAGGACTGCTCCATCCATACAAGGCCAAACTCAGCTCTCAGAGGATTGGAACTTTAGAGTAAAGATCTAGACACTCCATAAAAGAGATGATTCTATAATTTTTGTAAAGTAGCTTTTCCTGTGTTAGTTGGCAGAAAATTGCAATAACCTAACTTTCACCAGTGGTTACAGTCAATTACCAGATGAAAAGGAGCTCGGCATAGGCATAAAGGAGCATAAGCCTAGCTCCATGGGAGAAAAGCAGCAGAGAAGGTTCATCTTACTCTGTCTTCCAGGACTCACAAGAAAACAAAATGAAATTTACTTTTGGGGGGCCTGTGACTTTTCAGTGTGCTTCTCATCCTATTTCTATTACCTGCTGGTTAATGTCCTTGTCTTTCCCCATGTTACAGGCCTGTATAATTCAGTGGATAGCTGGATGATTGTGCCCAATATTAAGCAGAACCATTACACAGTGCATGGACTCCAGAGTGGGACACGCTACATCTTCATTGTTAAAGCCATAAACCAAGCAGGCAGCCGGAACAGTGAACCTACCCGACTAAAAACAAACAGTACGTTATGGTGCTTCTGAAAGGCGACATCAATTTTCCCTTCCATGCTAGGGAGTAAACTTAGCCTGAATAGGCACCCACAGCCATGCAAGAGAGCAGAAGCTCTGGGTAGAGGAGGAGCGTTACTGTTGTATATAGTTGGCGCTCTGGGCAAGGGGTTTGTTCGTGCCCCTGAGAGATATGTGGACACAGATAGACATACAATAGCTGATAGCTTGGGAGGGTGTTAGTGAAGAGGTTTTCTCCGCATCCCACCCTCATGCTTGGGGGACAGTTGAATAAAAGAGTACTACAGACATACACTGCTTAACAATGGGGAAACATTCTGAGAAATGTGTCCTTAGGTGATTTCATCCTTGTGTGAACATCATAGAATGTACTTACACAAACCCAGATGGTATAGCCTACTGCACACCTAGGCTGTGTGGTATATACCACCATCATATATGTGGTTGGTCATTGACTGAAACATTGTTATGTGGAACATGACTACATTTGTGATAGTCTGGTAACATCATAGTGCAGAGAAGCCATACCTGTTAGGAATGCTTTTGACTGCAAGTGACAGGAAATTCAACTAACTTGGCTTAACAAATAGTATCTGTTACCAGCTTAAAGAAAGTACCTTTTTCTCTCTCACATAGCAAGAAGTTTGAAGGTAGGCAGTTCAGGGCTGGTGCAGCAGCTCTGTGAATTTGTAAAACACTCAGGCGCTTTCACTTTTTGTGTATTGGATTTTTGCCACATGGTCACAACATGGCCGTTGCAACCTCTCGGTTGTCATGTTTACTTTCAAGATAGGATGAAGGGGGGAAGGCTTGGTTTACATGGTGGCTCTCCCTTTTATCGAGGAAACAGGCACTTTCCCAGAAGGTTCTCTCACCCTGTCTCACTTTTGCTTCCAACTACTTCCATCTTATTAGCCACCTCTAACAGCAAGGGAGGCTAGGTATAGAGTATTTAGCTTTTCTGGCCTCAATATTGAAAGTGGGTAAGAGAGAAAAAGTAGGGAAAGGGTGTTGTGTTGACCAGCAGTGTCTGCCACAGACGAATTTTGTATAATAAAGCTCTTGTCATACCCAGCAACTGGCTCCTAGTAATTGGTTTTGTCATATGACTATAAGGAGTTCTCTGTTGTGAGTGATCCTACACAATAAATACTTTCTCTGATCATTGATGATGCAGTAGTCACTCCAACAAAGTTACCTGATTATATGTCATTTACATCCCAGTTGTAAGAGGGCAAACAAAATTGCCCTGTTGCTGACTTATTTTAAGTTTTATACTGCCACCAAGCAGCAATTATCTCATCAGTTCCCTCACTTTGTCTCACCTCAAATACTCCTTCCCTTAAAATCCACTCAAATCTCAAACCACCCACTGAAATAAAGCAAAGTACAAAGTATATTTGAGAACATGAGACCCTGAGCATCCCCTTTTAATTTGATCATATATGAAGAGAGGGAGCATATTCTTATTTTATTGAAAACGGTGGCTTTTGGCTTGTTTCCTTAATATAACCCAAATAGCAGCCAACTTGAACTCACCCAAGAATGATTATCATATCGAGGCTCCTCTAGTAGTGATGGTCCTGGAGGACAAAGAATTCTTAAATACATCCTCATGCATTTTCTTTTTCTGACCTTTTGCAGGCCAACCCTTTAAACTGGATCCCAAAATGACTCACAAGAAGTTGAAGATCTCCAATGACGGCTTGCAGATGGAAAAGGATGAAAGCTCTCTGAAGAAGAGCCACACCCCAGAGAGGTTTAGTGGCACAGGGTGCTATGGGGCAGCAGGAAACATATTCATTGACAGTGGCTGCCACTACTGGGAGGTGGTCATGAGTTCCTCAACATGGTGAGCAGATCCTACTTTTCTTTTCCTCTTTTCTCCCCTGTTGTTGGATTCCTGGGAGATCCAGTTCTATAACACAGACATAATACCAGTCAGTCAAGGTCAAAAGGCATGTGATGAAAACCACTCCTAGAAAAATGTGCCAGCTTTTTAAAATAAAACCATGGAAAATATACTGCGCTAGGAGTTGGAAATTACTATACCACTCTAATTGCAAACATTTTCAAGTTCTAGTGGTATCAACATTATGGATATAAATATAAACTAGTTAAGGGAGAAGCATATACTCTAGTTCGTATATATCCTGTATAGTGTCAAGTCCAACTCAAATCGCTAACTTTTTCTTTCTCTTTCCTGTCCACTGTCTCACAGGTATGCAATTGGCATTGCCTACAAATCAGCTCCCAAGAATGAATGGATTGGCAAGAATGCCTCCTCGTGGGTCTTCTCTCGATGCAATAGTAACTTTGTAGTGAGACATAACAACAAGGAAATGCTGGTGGATGTGCCCCCGCAGCTGAAGCGTCTGGGTGTCCTTTTGGATTATGACAACAACATGCTGTCTTTCTATGACCCAGCTAACTCTCTCCATCTTCATACTTTTGATGTGACCTTCATTCTACCAGTTTGTCCAACATTCACAATCTGGAACAAATCCCTAATGATCCTGTCTGGCTTGCCCGCCCCGGATTTTATTGATTACCCTGAGCGGCAGGAATGCAACTGCAGGCCGCAAGAATCCCCTTATGTTTCTGGGATGAAAGCTTGCCATTAAGTTTCAAGAGAGCATATAATTCACTGGCTCTCTAGTTCAGCAGTTCTTCCCCTCCTAAACCTCAGTTAGTGTCCAATATACAAAATACAAAATAAAGTTCATTTGAAGCATCCGAACCAACTAGATATTATAGATTTAATTTTTTTGCATTAAAGCTTGTATTTGAATTAAGGTTTTGAGTTTCTCAGAACAAATTTTCTGAGTAGTCTGAACTCAAGCCATTGGAGAAGAAATTTAGAGAATGCCTCTTTTCTCATTGGAGAATTTAAAATTCCCAATGATTTGGAGTATAAATGATATTGGGAGGGAATAGGGTAATTCTAGGTAAATAATGTAGAAAGATGCTCTGAACAAGGAGCTAGCCAGCCAGAAAGGGGGGATGTCAGCTTTTCTAGTACTGACCAATTTAGCCCGGTAGAATTTTGACATGTCAAATGATTGCTTATTATATGTAGCTTTTAATAAAAACCTACAATCACAGATTTATTATAAAGAAAATATGTATATGTATATATAATTTATATAAAATGAATAAATAATATATGTCATTTATTCATTTTATAATTACATATACATAAGAAACTGTTTAACTTGATCATTTGAGTGAGAAATATACTGGAAGGGAAAATAAATTATGCCATTTATTTTTGTCCCCTAAAAGAAACAGTTGACATCAAAATCAGCCAACATTTCTCTCCTGCCTGCCTCCATCCCTTTTTTCCTCCCTGTTGTCACACACACATGCAATAATGACATAGATGGTGGGAAGAGTTCTGGGTTGGATTAGGAGAGATTGAGGGACAAGATTGCACAACAGAGCTATTGCTGGATACAAAATTGACTGAGGTAGAAGTGTTTCATGTAGCACAATTTCACTGATGTTACCTTAATGGAGGAGGTTCTGAATCGTTAAAAATTCTGTCACAGAATATTTCCAAAAAAAAATACAGTTCTGTTTCTTTTTTGTGTGTCTTTTTTTTTTTAATTCTCAAGTACATAGTTACTAGAATTAGGCTAAAAATAGAGTTGCAAAATGGAAGTTCTTTAGGAACCTGCTTCATTACATTCATCAGTAAGAGTGGAGTGATACAACTATTTGCATATAAATGGACTTGTATTTATTTTCTTAAGAATGACTGAGAACAGTTTGTTTTCTTAAACAGGCTAAATAATCATTCTTCTTGCCATCTTGTTTACACTCTTCATCTGCTTAGCCAACCCTTCATGGCAAATGCAGATGTCAGCTTCATCCCAGTACTCATCATTATGGTTGAAAGGAACCAAGTTTTATGGTCTGTGCTTATGTCAATTCCACTGCAGGGACCAGGGATGTCAGAGCCAGAGCTGTCTCCTTTCTAGGATCTGAGTCTGCTTGAAGGAGTCTACTTTTTGGGAGTTGTGAAAATATCACTGTTGTACAAAGCAGTAGCTGGAACCAGCCCCCAGATTGCAGCCTTGAAACAATGCCAAAACTTCTCCCCTCTTCCTTTCCACCGCCTTGGTAGACGTTCATTCATTAATTCATTCAACAAACTTCTAGATGTCAGGTACCACACTGTTGCTGACATACTGATAAAACAGTCCCTGCTGTCAAATGGCTTACTATTTTGTAGGAGAGACAAAGCATCTACATAAATCCCTAAATAATACTTTTGTATTGTTTGTTTACCCAACACAGAAAGCAACAATGAGGCAGATACAGATGGCAGCCTCCAATTTACACATCTAGTGGCAAAGTCAGTTTTTTGGTTTTAAAAAAACCATATGTACTTAATTGCTAATCAGGAAATGAGCAACCTGAGTAAGATTTCTGCAGTGCTGGGAAGTAGCTTGCTCTGATGGAAAGCTCATAGCCTTTGGACTAAAATAATGCTAGTTCCTCTGCCATTTAGTAGCAGTATGACCTAGGACAAGTACTTCATTTCTCTGAGCCCCTGTTTCCTCTTTCGTAAAATACCTACCTCAGAAGGCTGTTGCAAAGATTAAAAAATATAGCACATGTAAACTGCTTAGCGCAGTGCCTGGTGTTTAGGGAAGTATGCTACAAATATTAAGCTCCTCCCTCAGCCCCAGCCCCAGTAGAGTGCAGTGGTGCTTTAAAATGTATGCCTTTCATTTCTAAGTTACTCTGGTCTCTCCTCTATGGCCTGTCCCAAAATTCTTAAAACAAATGATTTTTCCACCTTCATAAAACCTTTCACTGCCCTACCCCGCCCCCCAGAATTCAGTAGAAGGTCCTAACTACTTAGGGTTTGGTTTTTCGGGTCCCTGTGTGCTTTTCCAGCTTCATCTTGTCACTTGCCCCACCCCCACCCCCACAGTGGTTACTCTAGCAAAGCTTAACTATATTACCAAGTTGTTCTCTGGGCCTGGAACAGAGGCATTATTTACAATTTTGATGCCCATGGTAAGTAAACAGTAGGAATCGTTTTTAAGAGAACAGCGTAAAAATACTAAAAGTACAAAACACTCCACGTCCACCCGAGTCTAATTTCCTTTACCTTATCCTTGGGTCTCCCGTGCCATTCATTATTTGTGCCCTTTAGATTTTAGTGCCCTGAGAAAAAGCTTCAATTTCCCTACCCTACTTTTGACTCTGGACTGGACTCCCTTTCCTCACTCTCACCCCTCTCAATCAGATTAACTCCTGATCCCTAGACTGGGTTATGTTCTCCTCTTCCAAGCTCCCAAGATACCCTGAACGTCCTCACCTCGTCCCCTCAATGATAATCACATTAGATAGCAATGTTTTTCAGTGTGGTCTTTAGACCATCTGTTAGAACCACTTTTGGGGTTAAAACAATTGATTCCTAGACCCCTCCCCTGATCTACTTAATTACAATATCTGGACACGAGTGGAATTTTAAATTTTTAATAAATTTTATATTTTTAACAAGCTCCCCAGGTATTTCTGATGCACGAAAAAGTTTAATAATCATCTTCCCCACTAGACTATGACTACCTTGAGGGCAGGGACTGTATCTTTTGTTTTTCTTGTTGTATTTTTAACACCTAACATAATGTGTGGAACAGAGTAGTTGCCTGGCTACTGTTTATTGAAAAAATATATGAATGAACAAATGAATTATCAAAGTTTCCCTGTTGAACTCTGATATCCGTACTGGTGTTTATTGTTTCCTGGGCCAAAAAGCTTGGCTACTTCTCCATTTGGGCTATATTGATATTATTTTGCAGATGTCCCAGGACTCGTTTACATAAATGAATATTGTCCTTCTCAAAAGCTCTTTGGCTATTGACTTGGGAATTGTCTGGAGCATGTGACACCATTCTTTTCAATAACTATGGTATTTGAAGGTGGATTTAACTTTTGGTTATAGCCAAAAATCACTGAGCTAAGCCTGAGACAAAGAACTGGGTTTAGGGTAAGCAATGAAATTTCTGAGCCAAATAATGAAAAGTGCTTTCCAAGAAACAACATGGTGGCAAAGTACTCAATGGGGGAATGGTGAGTCCCAGACACTTACTTCAGTAAACTTAAGACTTTCATAGGATACTGTCAATGCCAGGGACCTTGAAAGGAGTCATTGACTACCTTTAGCTAAACCCAGTTGGACAAAGGGATTAGGACCTGTATTTAACATCTGTAAGGAAGGTAACACCATACGTTTTCATTGTTGTTGCTCTACTCAATTTATTTTCCTACAATCCTTTCTGCTAGCTAATTGTTCTTTGTCTGCAATTTATGTTTATTTCCACTTTTTATACTGTCATATTGAAGAAAGCACAAAAATAATAAGAAATAAAGTTAAACCTGTTTTGAGAATATGAAAGAAATTGTAATGCCACATTGGAGTTCAGGCTACTTGTAAGTAAGAGTAACAGCATCTGTATGTGTTTTATCATGTAATTCCATTGTGTAACTGGATGCAGTGCCATTCAGATTGCAGCAAAACATTTACATATTCTCTTCAGCTATAATGCACTAGGTGAATTTTCTAAGCTTCCATGGTTTACATATTTATATATGACTACCTGGATGGAGCAATCCATGGATGTACTTTTTAATAAGCTCAAATATTTGATACCCTTTCCTCTATAGAACAGAGAAAGTGTGGCTGACAGATAAGAGCCACTTGCACACTTATTTGAATTCCTGAAGTCAGTTGCAGCCTCGGAGCCACTGGACTGTATTTGGCTGTGTGTTACAAGTTGGCCAGGTTGGTCACCATCAGGTCAGGTAAAACTGCCTTTTATAGTCTTGATTTGCCAGCTGCAAACATATGCTGTTGTTGTTGTTGGCTAGAATACTTACTAGACTATTGTTGGACTCCTTTTATCAAACATTTTACCCCGGGTTTGTTTGTACTGGGAGCTCTGGGCCAATAGTGTCTCTCCTAGTAACAGAACTCTGAGCATCTGCAGATTACACAGCCTTGTCCCTCTAAAACATCCCAGCCCATCCAAAATGCTATATTATGAAAAAAATAAATATATATGTATTAATAATGAGTTATTGATTGTCTCTCACTGGAGTTTAAATTGGGGAAGATTAAAAGGGAGACAACCATGAATTACTGGGATTGTCTAAATGACTTGTGTGGGAATAAATTATAATAGGTAGTGATTTGGGCAGAGAGGACCCAGGGCAATGGAAACTGAGATTCAGTCGTGTCTCCTTCAAAGGAAACAGAAGAATTAATAAATTAGCTATCAGTACTGTGCTAATGAAGGTGTGTGGGCAAAATTCAGTCACTACCAACTTCTCAATCTACCTCTTCCTTTTCAGACAACAAGGAAATGTTAACAAGGACCTTCTAGAGGTAATGCTTATATTGTCTAACCTGGAGGTGACACGGTAGGGAGGGCAAGCTTCAGACTTTCAGGTTTGGAAGGGTCAGTTGGCAATGCTCTGGCAAGCTTGTATGGGACATGCTCGGGGCCAAGAGGGACCTTTCAAATAACAGAATATAAATGTCAATTCTACTTTCTGTCAGGAGAGCCTTGTACACAGAAATGCAAAGAGGACCTTCTACCCCTTCAGCCAGATTGGAAGTCCCAGAAAATAGAATTTGGACTGATTTTCTCTTGATGTACAGTGGCAGTAAAAAGCCATTATGAGCTACATATCGGTTTGTCAAGCTCAACTCCCTCAGTGATAACGGAGGGTGCTTTGATTACCAGAAGTGTGAAATTCATAGCAAGCATCTGTTAAGCACACAAGACAAGGCAGAGTCCAAAGCCTAATTGATTCAGGAGGTAAAGATAAAAGGATCAATTTCAGATTCAAACAGTTTATTATTTACACAGTGAAAGAAAAAGTAGTCAAAAATTCCTGTTCCTAGTAGTCACTGTCCCAGATGGCAAAAAGGAACACTGAAACAAAAGGGGCCAGAGGACTGCAATAGTAGTTGTGGGCTATCCCCTAACTAAGAAGCCAATTCTAGATTGAGCTAAGTGGCTTTATAGTCTGTAGCTCTATTCTGAGGGGATAAGTCAGAAAGACTCTTATCTCATCAGATTCCAGCAGGTGAGAGGCAATAAAAAAACTGTTTCTACACAGCCTCCCAGGGGAGAGGGAGGATAAGGAGGGGAATGAGACATGGCTTTGAAACAGCTTCCTGCAGGGCTCTCATCCTCCTGTGCTCTTGAAGGATCAAAGATATTCTACCAAGACTCAGATTGGCTGGCTGCACTTCAATCCTTCGCCTGTGGGGTTTATGTGGAGAGTGCAAGGCGGCCAGCGTACCATAGTGAAGATGTTCTACAGCAGCTAGCTGAAAGCCTAGGTGACTTTCCTGGGGGTAGAAAAAGGAAGTGAAGTCAAGGTCTGTTGTGGAACTTCCTCTCTCCCTCTCTTCTGTTGACCTATTCATATCCTTTCATGTTCAGTCTCTTTGGGGTTGGGATGGGGTAGGGCAGGGATTGAAGGAATAATGGGACACACAACTAATTCAGGCGCTGCAAGATTCAGTACCAAGGCCAGAGAATCCCAAAGACCAAGTCCTTTGCTATCTCTGGTTCTTAGTTTTTCAGTTATGAATTGAAATGTATGAGTAATGTCTAAGATCCCTTCTAGCTCTAACAGCATGAATTTCCATAAATGCAAATTTATTTAATACAGTGGTAAGAGCTTAATTTGCATACCTACCCTCAAATGTTGTGACATTAGGGCAGATCATCAGAAACCCTATGACTACAACAGAGAGGTGGATAACATTACTGTTACTTTAGGACCTCCATCAGATTCCCTTTTGGGGTGACTATACTCCTCCAAACACATTTCGATTCACTCAGAGCTGCCCTGCCAGTCTCCTCCACCTACATTTGCCAATATTAATTTTGAGCTTTCTACTTCAGCCCTCTCCCCTATGTAAAAGATGCAAAGACTGCTCTAGCTGGCCATGTCTCAGTTTCAAATTTCAGGTCAGCTGTCTGACAATCTTCCATGTGTCCACATAGGAAATTGCTACAGACATTCCATTTTCCAAGGGCAGAGCAGGTCACTTGACATAGCAACTAACAGGGGTCCTATGTGCCACCTTTCCCAATCATAACCTTTCTTCCTCAATTCTCCAAAAATGAACTACCTATATGGCAGAAGACAGGGTCTCAGCATAGCCACTAGTCCAAGTTATCATTCATTCACTTATTTATCCGTTCATTCAACAAGTCATTTATTGGTAGCCTTTTTGTGTCAGGTACCATAGTTCAGTGATGAATGAAATACATTCTCTCTCACCTCATGAGACTCATAATCTAGAGGGAAAACAGATTATCAACAAATGAACACCTTTGTAATAATAGGAGCTATCATTGTTTGTTTACACTGTCCCTGATACTATTCTAAGCACTTAAAATGTAGTAACTAATTTAATCCTCCCAGCAACCCTATGAGGTAAAGGCTATTATTGGCTCCATAGGACATGAATTGTTAATCCCTGTGCCCCAACCCCCAGACCAGTAGATTCCTTGGTGCCTGGTGAGCTGCTAGCAAGGGTCTTGGCCATGGCTGCCTTTGGCGCGGGATAAATGAGTTTCAGGCCAGCACCAAGGAAATGACCCAACCCAGGGGCTCCTGGATTCGGGGTCGATCAGGCAGGATTCCCATAACTGTTAAGTCACTCTCAGAACAGCACCTGCAGCGGTTTTTCTCACCTCTTTCTCCTGCCCCATAACCCCCCACCCCTGCCCCTTTCCAGGCTAGTCCCCCTTCTGAGCTGCCTATTCGCTGAGTCATTTCCCCTTCCCCGACCCTAAAGACTTTGGCTTTCTCTCCAAATCTCTTTCCTCTGGCAGGAAGCCGAGAAAGGGCAAACTGGCTTTGGGAGCCATGTGAGCGTTTTACCCAGCGAGGGTGAGCAATCCCACCCTCGCCCCTCCATTCGGAGGGGCAGGAAAATCGAGCGAGTTCCCTCCGGCTGAGCGGCTGGTTTCCCTGTCATCTGAATGCCCTAGTGGCCCAGCGTGGGAGGTGCCACACCCCGCCCGGTGTCGCCTGGGATGTGAGAAGGGAAGTGGGGGCCCAGTAAGAAAGGACTGCGGGGCTGCCAGGGCTTGGGCGGGGTGAGCTCAGCGCCTTCTGGGAGGGACCTCGCTGCCTACGACGCTGGTGATGCGGAGGGGGGGCCGGGGCCTGGCCCCGGACCCAGCCCTGGAGAAAGGAGGGGGTGAGGGGGAGGGGAGCGGCCCCCCGGGATTCGCACGTGGAGGGGTGTATAGAAAAGCGTATGTGGGGTGGAGCGTGTGTGCGGAGGCTGGGGGAGGAGGAGTGGGGGGGGCGGGCAGAGGGAGATGCATCTGCAGCGATTCATAGCGGTGCATATGCGTAGGGGTGCGTGCACGGGGGAACGTGTGGGTGGGGTCTCATGCGCGTAGGCCTGCACATGGGGGGAGGTGAGACCAGAAAGGGATGCTGAGAGACGGTGGGCGCTGCCGTTGAGTGCCTGCGGGATTGAGGTATAGATGTTTTTAAGGCTCTGGCTGACGGCCTGGAAGTCGTGAATATTAACTTTTTAGTTTTGAGGTGGCGGGGGGGGGGCGGACATGATCCCTTTGAAAATCTGAGGGAAACTATGTACCACCTCCCCACCCCCCACCCCAAAAAAAAGAAAGAAAAAAAGCGCAGACGGTTTGCATGAAAGCACAGAGGGGTCTAGGGCTGGCCATCCGTGGACCCCAAATTGAGGCTTAAAGTCGGGAGAAAACCCAAGTAGGCTACTTTGCTACTTGCCATTGTGTGGTTTGATTCTGTGAGAGGAGAAAATAAACAGGTGACTGAGCTGTTGCCTGCTCTTACTGTGGGCTCGTTCTGGGCTTGGTGTGGCTTCCAGCCTAGGTTTGCTGCTCCTCCGGGACACGGTGCCCACAGGGTGGGAATATAAAATGGGATCACTCCTCAGTGTACGACCTCATGGCCTTACCCATAAAGCCAGGTGCTGGGCATTGCAACAAGGTCCCTTCCTGAGCCAGAAGTTGGAAATGGAAATAAGACTGATCAATTCCCAGCACACGGAAGCATTTAACAAATGGTAGCATACCTATCTACCTACCTACCTGTATATCTACTTCCAGATAAAGTAACAATTTTATTCTTACAAATGTATCGGGTTGTCGGAAAAGTCATGATGTGTTTTTTCTATGTTTTTCGTTTCAAAAATGCATCATGACTTTTCTGATAACCCAATAGAATGTATTAAACTGCTGATTTCTTTTTGATCTCTTCTAGGCACACTTGGCTGTGCTGTCCTCAATCAGAGTCCACCAAGTCCATCTTGTAAAATCACATGCGTAAGGTAAGTGGGACTTTAGTTTGAATTATTTGCAGTGTTCAGGTATTTGATGACTCGTCTGCCATCAACTCTTGCCTGGATTGCTGTCTTGCTCTCCAAGACTTCACACTTGCCTGCTTCCCTCCCATTCATTCTCCACTTTGAGTCAAGAGTTATTTTTCTCTCTGAGCCACAGAATAACCTACCAGTTCAGAGCACAGAACTTGGTGTCAGACAGAGCTCATTCAGATCCCGACTCCACCCTGCCCCACCACTTTCTATTGTAGTTGTATGACTTTGGACAAGTTACTTCACCTCTTTAAAGAATTATTTTCATTATCTGTAAAAGGGGATAATGGTGATCTTTACCTCATATAGGTGTTGTGAGATATTACAGAGGTAGTGCATGTGGAGGGACCTATAGTAACTGCTCAGTAAATGGTACATTCAAATTGGTAAGAGCAGTGAGGCTGCTAAAAAGAGTGGCTGAAGTGATGATGTACCATGGCGCTTAGGCTGGATAGGGAGTAAAGCACTGAGAAGTCACAGGATGGGAGACCTTGATGACAATGAGAATTGGGTACTCTGAGAATCAAGAAGTAATAGGGGTAGGAGGTTGTAGTCACAGATCGGGATAATGGGGTTCAGGAATTCTGAAGTGGAGCAGCTCCATGTTTATGGGGTGGTCGAGGATACTCATTGCTAGAAATGACATGTGGTCAGAGGATGTAGAATGAGAGGAGATCCAGGGACAGTGAGGTGAAGAGTGTTGGGTGAGTCATCTATAGTCATTGAGGTTGCTTATATGATGGCAGGGGTGGGAGTGGAGTGGAACATGGAGCTAGCACCAGAGAAAAGGTCCACCCTGAAGAACAGGGAGCATTTTTTTCACAAATATTTCCTGAGCTCTTACTAGATGTGGGGATATAACAAGAAAGACAAAAGTCCTGCTGTCATAGAGCTTGCAGTCTAGTAGGAGTGATAACAGATACAAATAATCTCACTTATAAATAAAAAAACCCCACAAACTGTGGTAAGAGCTATGAAGGAAAAGTAAGGTTTCTGTGAGTGCTTATAACAGGAGGACATAACCCTGCCTGGAATGTCCGGGAAGGCTTCCGTGAAGAAGTGATGAAAACTGAAGGATAAATTGAGGTCGATGGAGGTGGATGAGGGGTGGGTGGAGGAAGTGTTGTAGGTAGAGTAAATGAACTGCATGTGCAGAGACCTAAAGCTAGAACATGCTAGAACTGAGAGGCGTCTCCTACGACTAAAGCATATTAAGCAAGGGGGAGATTATTGTGAGCTGAGGCTGGATGTCAGTCCCACAGTTTTAGTTGTTTTGTGCTTTATCTTAGGAGCAATGGGGATACTCCTATGAAAGTGTTTTGACTAAGTGAATGACATGGTCAGATTTCTATGTATTTGAATGTTTATTTCTTTTTCCCCAGTTTTATTGAATTGTAATTGATATATAAGATTGCATAAGTTTAAGACATACAACATAATTTGATAGATGACATGTGATCAAAACATGGTGAATGTTTAAATTTAAAAAAATATTACACTAAAAGACACATTGTCATTAATCCCCCTCAAAATACTCCCTCTCGCTTTGAACATACTTATCCCATCGTTCTTGCCAGTTTCTGAAGAGGTTCTGGATGTCCTCTTTCATGAGTCTTTAGTTGCACTGTAGTGGCTGCCTCCATGTCTTGAATCCATTCAAAACCTTTACCTTTTATGGTCATTTTGACTTTGGGGAAGAGCCAGAAGTCGCATGGTACTCAATCCAGTGAATAAGATAGATGAGGACACACCATAATGTTTTTATTGACAGAAATTGCCGTACCAGAAGTGATGTGTGACATGGAACCTTTCTGTTGTAATAAAAAAAATACAGTGAATTCTGCTGCCAAGTGCCATCCAGTGGAAAGGCAGGGATCTTCAATATGGGAAGCAGCGCGTGGAGCCTTAGTAGTAACAGTGTGTGACAAGTTTCAACTTGATTGATGCAGTCAGTCGGGTGTAAGCTATTGTTGAGAGAAGGTGTGTTTTAAAGTGTGCCCTAAGTCATCCTCCATTACAACAATGCTCCGTGTCACAGTTCGCTTCTGGTATAGGGCACTTTCCATCAATAAAAACATTACAGTGTGTCCTCATCCGCCTATTCGCTGGATCTGGCACCGTGCAACTTCTGCCTCTTCCCCAAAGTCAAAATGATTCAGGACATCGAGGCAGCCACGACACTGCAACTAAAGACACTCACGAAAGAGAACTTCCAGAACCACTTCAGAAACTGGCAAGAACAATGGGATAAGCATGTTCAAAGCGAGGGGAAATATTTTGAGGGGGATTAATAGCAATGTGTCTTTTACTGTAGTAATTTTAAAAATTTAAACATTCACCATATTTTTTATCACACCTCATATGTATGTATTGCAAAATGATTAATACAATATTTCTTAAATAATGCACAACTATATGCTCATTATAGAAAAATAAACAACACAAGTATATAAATTGTGAAAGTCCAGTTTGTGTTTTTAGTTGTGTATGTTAGAATGCATATGTACACACACACATATAATTCATAGATGTATACAGTATTATATATGTATACAATATGATTATATATACATATAATATAGCAACTAGCTTTTTCCACTTAACAACGTGTCTTTGACTTTTTCCATGTCTTGGGCAAGATCTTAACCAACTGAGCCACTTGGCTGGCCCTCATGTCTTTATTTCTTAATTACGTAGTAATATATAAGTATATTTTAATGGTAAATGATTGAAACAATACACAGGTATAGAGAGTAAATCTTTTTTTTTCAATTTCTTTCTTTATTTTTATTTTTTATTTTTTAAATTAAATTCAGGTGTACAAAACAATGTAATAGACATTTCACCCCTCACAAAGTGATAACCTCCTCCCCCAGTCTAGTGCCCTTCTGACACCATATATATCTATTACAATTCCATTGACTCTATTCCCTATGCAGTACTCCATATCCCATGACTATATATATCTATATCTATATCTAAATATTAAATTATAGTCAATATACAGTATTATACAGCTTAGAGAGTAAATCTTGAAACTTCCCTTTCCTGCTCCCTCCCTATCTGCCATTCTATCAAAAAAATATTTTACATAACTTGACTTTCATATTGTTATGCAGACTTACAATTTCTTACTTATTTATCTATTGCACATGTGACACATAAATACATTTTTCTTTCAAAGGATTAGAATGTTTCAGGGAAGGCTAAAACCTCCTTTGGCCATCATTGATTTCCTCCCTGCCTCTCCCACTTCCTGCTCACTGTTTAGCTTAACTTCTCCCAGACCTTTTCACCTTTTCCTCATCATTTGCAAACACTGACCTCTCCCTCCCTCCCACTGGTGATTCCTCTCTCTCTCTCTCTCTCTTTCTCTCTCTCTCTCTCTCTCTCTCTCTCTCTCTCTCTCTCTCCCTCTCTCTCCCTCTCCCTCTCCCGCTCCCTCTCTCTCTCTCTCTTTCTCTCTCTCACAAACACACACACACACACAAAAACGGAGAATATATAGTAGTATTTAGTGTTATTAAACGTACAAATTTACCTTTTTCACCCAGCTGTACACCTGAAACTAATATAAAATAATATTGAATATCAACTGTAATTGAAAAATAAAAATTAATTCAAAATAAAAAGTATAAATTGTGTCCTGCTCATATGTATTGTTCTGCTACTTGCTACTTTCACCCAACATTATGTCTGAGACCTTTTCATGTTAGTACATATAAATCTAACTTGTTTTTTCACTGTTGTATAGTATTCTACAAAATAGATAGACTGTAATTTGTGTAGCCATCTCCCCATTGACATAGTTATTTACAAGTATTTGCTAATAAAAAACATCCTGCAATATATATCGTACAAGCCTCCCCCTTGCCTTTTTCTCCTGATTTCTAAATGCTACAGGCTTCTCTGTTTGGTTCTGCTGATCCATTTATTTATACCTGCCTTCACACCACACATTTAATTTCTATAGTTTTATAATATGTTTAATATCTGGCACAGAAAGAGTCTTTTTTTCTTCAGTTTTTTGTTATTCTTGCGTATTTACTTTTTTATATGGGTTTTAGTATCAGATTACCATACCCATATAGAATCTTATTCGCATTGCGTTGAGTTTACAGATTTCACTGGGGAGAATTGCATATTTAATTAGCCTTTTATATGACTAAACATGGTATGTTTCTTCATTTAGTCAAATTTTAAGTCCTTTAGTAATGTTTCATAATTTTCTCCATAAATGACTTGAATGTACCTTTTTGTGTGTTATTTTTAGATACTTTATAGTTTATGTTGTTACTATTAATAGGATTTTTGCTTTCATTTTATAATTATTAAAGGTGTATAAGAAAGCTATTGTTTTTTTATGAAATAGTGTGTCCAACAACTTTACTGAATTATCTTTTCTATATAATAGTTTGCCCACTGATTCAATTGGATTTCATAGGTAGGCAAACAGGTTATGTGCAAATATTGATAGTTTAGTCTCTTTGTCTTCAATCTGTATACCACATGTATTTTTCTTGTCAGAGTGCATTGGCTAGGACCTCCAGTATAAGACTAAGTAGTAGTTATGATATCAGGCATCCTTATTTTATCCCACTATTTAATGGGAATGCTTCTAAAATTTCATCAAGTATGATGCTTACTGTGGGTTTCTGGCAGTTGCACTTTATTAAGTTAAATATGTTTTCTTTAATTCCTACTTTTTTTAGACTTTAAAAACAAGAAAGAGTATGAAATTTTCATCAATTGCTTTTTCACCTGCAAGTCGGACGTATAGTGGTTTTCCCTTTTAAATTTCATGTATTGATAGCTTTTTAAACACTTTTGGTTATGAAACTGTCTAAAAATAAATGACAGTAGAGAGAACAATAAATCCCCATGTACGCATGACTCAGCTTCAGTAGCCATCAACATTTAGCCATACTTGTTGCAGCTACCCTTCTCCATTTTTT